AAAGTTTTCTGTCAAAATGGGAATTTTTCTTGTCATTTTCAGTCAAAAACAAAACATTTTTGATGAAAATGTTTGTAAAATAATTTTTTAAAATGTTATCTTTACTTGCTTTTAGAGGACATTTTTAGAAATATTTTTCAATAAATTTTTCTGTCAAAAAGTGAATTTTTCTTGTCATTTTTGGACAAAAACCAAAAAGAATTGATGAAAGTTTTTGTAAAATTATTTTTAATGGTATAATCTTTACTTGCATGTTTCTTATAAAAAAAGGATATTCAGAAAACATTTTTTGAAATATTTTTGTATTTAGTTTTTTGTCAATATTTGAATTTTTTGTGTCATTTTTTTTGTGTCATTTTTTTCAAAATGATATCTTTGCCTGCATGTTTCTCATAAATTAGTGTACGTAGAGAACTTTTTTACAAATTTTTGCTAATAAAACTTTCTGTAAAAATATCAGTTTTTTATGTCATTTTTGGTCAAAAACTAAGAAACTTTGATGAAAATGTTTGTAAAATGATTTTTCAAAATTGTATTTTTTTTTGCATGTTTCTCATAAATTTAGTGCACGTAGAAACCATTTTTAGAAATTTTTCTTAATAAAACTTTTTGTCAAAATGTCAGTTTTTCATGTAATTTTGATCAAAATCTAAGAAACTTTGATGAAAATGTTTTGGAAAATTATTTTTCAAAATTGTATCTTTGTCTACATCTTTTTCATAAAATTAGTGCACGTAGAAAACATTTTTAGAAATTCTTCTGTTTCAAACGTTTTGTCAAAATGTCAGTTTTATGTCATTTTTGGTCAAAAACTAAGAAACTTTGATGAAAATGTTTTGTAAAATTATTTTTCAAAATTTAATTTTTGCTTGCATGTTTTGCATAAGATTAGTGTACGTAGAACCCATTTTGAGAAATTTTTTTGTTTCAAACTTTTTGTCAAAATGTCAGATTCTATGTCATTTTTGGTCAAAAACATAGAAACTTTGATCAAAATGTTTTGTAAAATTATTTTTCAAATTTGTATCTTTGCTTGAATGTTTCTCATAAAATTAGTGCACATAGAGAAAATATTTATAAATTTTTGCTAATAAAACTTTCTGTCAAAATGTCAGTGTTTTATGTCATTTTTGGCCAAAAACATAGAAACTTTGATGAAAATGTTTTGTAAAAATATTTTTCAAAATTGTATCTTTGCTTGCATGTTTCTCATAAAATAAGTGCGCATAGAGAACATTTTTACAAATTTTTATTAATAAAACTTTTTTGTCAAAATATCAGTTTTTTAATGTCATTTTTGGTCAAAAACTAAGAAATTTTGATGAAACTGTTTATAAAATTATTTTTCAAAATTATATTTTTGTCTGCATGTTTCTCATAAATTTAGTGCACGTAGAGAACATTTTTGCAAATTTTGCTGAATTAAACTTTCAGTCAAAATGTCAGTTTTTATGTCATTTTTGGTCAAAAACTAAGAAACTTTGATGAAAATGTTTTGTAAAATTATTTTTCAAAATTTAATTTTTGCTTGCATGTTTTGCATAAGATTAGTGTACGTAGAACCCATTTTGAGAAATTTTTTTGTTTCAAACTTTTTGTCAAAATGTCAGATTCTATGTCATTTTTGGTCAAAAACATAGAAACTTTGATCAAAATGTTTTGTAAAATTATTTTTCAAA